TGTCATGGCAGCACCCTCTTTTAGAGAATCCTATTAGACATTGCATAATATCTAGAACTGCTAGCGCTTTATAAATTATTCCTTTGCTAGTACTTTGATGCATGCTACTACCTGAGCCATTATTACCCTGATGCAACCCACTCTACCACGTCACCCTGCTTTGCGCATTCGCTCGCTTATATATGCTTACTTGCCTGCTTGCTTGCATATTACACCACTATACTTATTAATAACTCCACTTCGCATTATATCGGGGATGTGATGCTGGTGGTGAACCCCTAGGAATGGTTTGGCTATGGGTGCCAAACTTGGTGGTGTGTGAGCGTGCTGCGTGTGTCTTGGGTGCGTGGAGAGTGAGGGTTGTGTCGACCGAGCTGGAATAACGACAAGCCTGGGGCGAGTCTTGCCATGTGGTGCTACCTGGGTACTTGGATATGGAATACCTGTGGTGGGTAAATAGTAATTGGAGGTGGCCTTGGGTGTGAACCTCGGAGAGGTGGAGCCCGGGGTGGAGGTGCTGTGGTGGCACGGTAAATGGAAACCCTGATGAAGACATTCTAGCTTGGTCACCCCTAAGGACTTACTAGTACTCAGATTCACCGGGAATCCTTTACATCCCACTCGCCCTATATGGTGCGGGACGGTCGGACTACTTGGTAGAGCGATGCCACTACTGCTAGGCGAACGTGTGCAAGGAGGTATGGGGCGCACGGTTTCCCCACACCCCCTTCCGAGACTTCAGGAGGCCTTGTGGACCGCTCTTGACATCCGGTGGGCCCCGCCTGCTGTCTCGACTCACATTACAGACGACGCCCATCCTGCACTAGACTTGGGATGTTCCAGTGAGAGGTAGGGTGGCATCGTTCTAGGCTAGCAAGCGGCACAGAATTCCGCCTAGGAGATACATGGCTTCGAGGATGGCTAATCTTGTGGGTATGTAAAACCTCTGCAGAGTGTATGGTTGATCGATCGATACATATGCCGACTTGTCGGCTATGGACCTTTCCTGGGTTTCGCTTAAACTAGATAGGAGATGAGTCCCTCTATTCTCCCTCTAGGGTTTGGGGTACTTTCCTGGTCGTGAGCCTTGGGGGTCATGGGACCGTTGAGACAAGGCCGAGAGGGAGTTGGCTGTCGACACGAGTGTGTGAGATGAGATAAGGTGTGGTGGTGTGGAGATAGTTTGGGATGGATGGTTGGTGGATGGATATGGATGGATGTGGATGTGTGTGGTCGGGAATGTGTTAAAAATCGGACATTATTATTACATTACTATCATTATTTACTTCTCATGCGCTAAGGATGCAAACCACGCCTAAAATGTCGGGATCGCCAGATCCTCTTGTTTTATCTTTTTCCACTAAAGCACATCGGTGTTGACCATGACCTCGCACACATCTAGCGGTGTGCGATTTCCTGCTTCTCGTAGAGATGCTTGACTATAGAAGGATTAGGAGGTCTCGTGCTCACGCTCAAGTTTGGTTCAGAGATGGAATCTACGCGCACTATGTTAACTTTCGATGATGACCCGTGAAGGAGAAGCCTTCACTCGATAGTCTTCCGCTAGATTAACTCGTAATAGGTGTATTCCCAAAGATGTAATATCTTGTATTCTTGTAATCTTCTACGATGTATGACTGTGATATCGACTGATATATGATAATATGATGGAATCAACTATTGGTTTCATCATATTATAATTCATTATGTGGATTTTCCCTTCGCGGAAAATTGAGGATGTTTCAGGCGCCAACGCGGGCAGTGGCGCCGGAGGCCGGAGCAGTCGAGGCACCTCCAGTTCGCGGCGTCGGAGCGCGCGGAGGGCTTCCGATTCCGAGAGCCAGGGGGAGTGCGGAGTGCCACGGGGTGGCATAGGTGGAGCACGTCGACGTCGGATGGTGAAATCCTGCCGCCCTGCCACGGCCCGCAGGCCAAGAGCAGACGCCATCGCTGATCGCTGTCGCAGGGTGTGAAGCGCGGCGGCGGCGGCCGGGGCTTGGAACTAGGGAGGGGTGGTGTCCTAGGGTTTGGGGAGGGTTTCGCTTCCTGCAAATTTTTGGGATAGTTTTCTTTTTTTTGGCACACAAAACCGTTGATGTCACGGCAGGCGAGCGAGAGAGAAAAATATTATTCATCAAATTGCCCTTTTCTTCCTTTCCAGTGAGTCAGTGACTCCTAACGGTTAAGGTTGTCAGTGAATCAGTGACGGCGCAAAGCATGTCAACAGTCCAAAGGTCTAAGACCAAGATTACGTTGTGGCCACAAGCTTGGAAGGAGGAAGTCGACCAAAGAGTCTGTATCGGAGTAGACTAGACATACATGTTATAGAGAGACTAGGAGATGGAAAGACTAGGCATAGATCGCTAATAATAAAAACTGGAAGAAAAGTGTATGTAGTGTTAGGTTAACATTATATGCATGCTATATATATATAGTCGGTTTTTCTCCTTCACGCAACAGTGTAACCAAATCTCACCCGCCATCTCTATGCCCGCAACCTTCATCAATGCGAGTCCAGCAGCCCACTATAGCGATGCGTGGATTTATCTTCTTATTTTGCTTCTTCTTCTACCTAAAACTGCTCCAGCCCACACCCCCGACTCCCCGCCGCTCCTTCCCCACCCTCCCCTAACACTACTACAGAATGTTACTGTAGGGGCGGCTCTAGAGCCTCTGTAGGGACGGCTGCGCCAGCCGTCCTTCCCAGGGTGTTCCTACAGATGGTGTAGGGGCGGGGCGCAGCCGTCCTTCCCAGGGTGTTCCTACAGATGGTGTCTCTGTAGGGGCGGTTTTCTGACCGCCCCTGCAGTGCCCTCTGTAGAGGCGGCTAGTGTTTTCAGGCGCCCCTATAGTGCCTTCTGTAAGGGTGGCTGCTAATATCAGCCGCCCCTGTAGTGGACTTCTGTAAGGACGGCTGTATCACCAGCCGCCCCTGCTGTGTGTATTTGTAAGAGCGGTTCAATCAAAAACCGCCCCTACAGTGGATTTTCCAGCAAAAAAATAAATAATTCAAATTCCAAATGCACACATATGGTCCAAATGTCAATCCAGACCACAAATACAATAAATACCAATATATGGATATATGTATCTGATTCCAATCCCAATATATTCCAATTTCATCGAAGTGTTCAACCATTACATTAAAAGACAATATTGGTTCATAGTCCTAGCCATTCAACATAATAAGTTCTAGTAGTACATACATATATATAGGACATATAGATACTTATGTTGTCATCCTCTTCATGGCTGCAATTTATGCTGCCTCTTCACGTACAGCATGTGTTCAAAGCGCTAGTCTTCTCGGAGCCGAAATTATATTCCTACATGACCACAAAATGAATGAAGTTACAGAATAGGCTAAGAATCTGATTTTGCTAAATTACATTATATTTCAAGCAATAATAGCTACCGAACAGAGCAAGATTTATGACTAAATAAATTACTCAAACTGAACTGCTTTCTGCATCAATGGAAATAAGTAGCCTATGTTCATAAATGAACTGCTTTCTGGAAATAATGATGACATTAATTTGACTGCATCAAAATGAAAGGTGCTTAACTGTTGTGCTGCAGAACTGCACTGCTGCTACTGTATTGAACCAGCTAAAGTTAAAGATTTTAATCTATATTTAAGGTTTTAAACTATATTGATAGCTAATAGAACAACGGTAAATCTGTTAGTGTCAACACACATGCTGCTATTGATCTAGTGCTACTGTCAACACACATGCAAGCATTCTATAAAGCTTAGTGCAAGAGAGACTAATAGCCAAAAATTCCTATTCATCATTATAAGCCAGTTGCAGATGCTGCTATGCAAAACATTTATGAACAGAATCCAGCTTGCAAAAACAACTGACAAGCACTAAACAACATGAATGAATTAAGTAATTCTTAAGTGCTAGCATATGCATTAACCGAAATGACATATCTGGCTAGAGGAACAAACAAAGCACAAGTTAATATAAAGATTGTTCACTGTAGAATAAAAAGGGCCTAGCTGATGTCTCTGCTTGCAGAGTGCACAGATAGATCCTAAAAGCATGGGTACCCACGAAAGTATGTACGCCGGGGATGGGGCTCGCTGTGGATGTAGCTGCCGGAGGAGGAGGAGCTCCCTGGCCGCTGAGGTCGCCGCGCCCTGTATCAATCCGGGCTCCAAGCCCTGTGCCGCCAAGCCTTCTCGGAGACAAACTTATATCTCTATGTGACCACAAAATTAATTTAGTTACAAAATAGGCTGAGAACACAGCTGCAAGGTAATTTAAATTTCACGATGGTCAAAGTTAACTTGAAACCAAATAGGTTCAAATTATCATGCTAATGCGAGATAAAGACCATACTGATATGAAGATACTAATAGGCATAGAAAAAAAATCTGTAAAGAAAGAAATTATAATGCTGGCTGCATGAAGTATAGATAAATAATCACTGAGCAGTCAACGAGTTACAGAATTGTTCTGCATGAAGTCCAGAGGAACAAATAATTACTGAGCAGTCATCACCTCTCAGGCATTCAGGCCCTTCAAATTCTGAAGCCCAACATAATATGGAGTAATGCCTGATCTAATTTCTAGATATGTTATCTTGCATTTTAAAATCATATTCCTAAAAATCTATAGTAGCAGAATCTTTACTTTTCTAAACCTAAAACATAGTATGGTGCAAAGGCTATGATGTCCTGATTCCATATTATGTCTATTCCGTGTCTGCGGAATCTTTATATTTCTATTCCTAAAAATTTATGGTAGCATAATCTTTGCTTTCCAAAATCTGAAATTTTATTATACACTAGCATATCTTATTTTAGTACAGCTATGATGTCCTGATTCCATATTAATAAGATAGTGGCTAGAACTGAAGCAACAAGTGAACTGGTTTACCAAATATTAGATTGAACCTAAGAAATAAGATTAACTTCTGACTTAGCTCCTGAAAGTTTGCTTTGCCGCTCTACTGATGCCTTTCGGTGTAAATCAAATTATTACAATAGTCTATGGAGATAATGATATAAGAACGCAGGAAGCTGCAAGGAAAAAAAAAGATGAACAGAGCCTCTATTCATAATTAAAAAGGGAAGAAAACAAAAGAACCATATTTTCATCATATAATTTATACAAAATTAATGTCTTCTATATATATGATATGATTGATAAATCATCTTGTTTTGGAACCTCCTCAAGTACTACTGCTCAGATTTGTTTCTCAAATGTTTTCCTGCTGGAAATTCAACATCTCAGCACAATACTTAGCTCTCAACTCTCTACTCTTAGACTATCATTTCAGGTGCCAATCTCAGGCTCTCAACATATACTGCCAACTCACGAAGATATATATGAACCTTTGATATCTGTTTTGTAATTACCCATTCTAGTACTACAATAGTCAATGCTGCATTCTAGTACACACTGAAAAATCTTCCATAGTATACGCAATGCAGACACGGAATGGTAGAGGAAGTAGGCAGGGGCGTGCGAGTACATGTACCTGTGAGCTCGAGTTTTGCCGGATGGGTGCAGCAGCGGCCACGGAACAAAGTACCGCCTGCAGAGGAGGAGCGGTCAAGAGCCCTCCGCCGCTGCCGACTCCCTGGCTCGCGCTCGCCGCCGCCGCCGCTGTAGCTGCCTCCTCCCGACTGCGCCGACATGCCTTGAGGAACAGATAGCCGGATCCATGCCTCCCTCGCAGGATCCACGCCTGAGCATCGCGGGGATGTGGGGAGAGGGCTCGGTGCGGGGCTGCGGGTTGCGGCGAGGGGTGCGGTGAAGGGCTGTGGGGAGGACGCGGTGCGGGGGATTGGGGAGAGGGCGCGGCGCTGTGCAGGGCTGCAGGATGCGGTGAGGGGCGCGGAGCTGTGGGGAGGGCGCGGTGTGCGGGGCTGTGGGGAGAGAGCTAGGGTTTCACTCCATTTTATATTACATGGGCGTAACGAAGGCCGTTGGATCTTGAATCGATGGTCAGCGATTATGGGCTAAGCATAGTAACGGGTTCATTTTGAAGTTTAGGCCCATTACTGTCTTGTGTCATTTTTATTTTTAATTTCTAGTAAAGTTCATAGTCACTATTGCAATTAATTTTGTAAACTGTAAATGAATTCAAATAGAAAAAACGTCTGCTACAAAGTTTCAAAAATCATCGAGATCTACAACTTTTATTTAGGTCATTTTGTCATTTGAAAAAATTTGAACATTTCAAATTTGAAATTTTAAAAAATGACAAGTTCGAACCAAAATTTGAGACCCAAAATGATTTCAACATAAAAAGTGATGAATACCAAAGTTGTTCAACTCATTAATATCTACAACTTTTATTTTAGTCATCTTGTCATTTGACAAAATTTGAACCTTTCAAATTTGAAATTTTGAAAAACGACAAGTTCGAACCAAAATTTGAGACCCAAATTGATTTCAACATAAAAACCGATTAATACCAAAGTTGTTCAACTCATGAATATCTGCAACTTTTATTTTGGTCATTTCTTCATTTGATAAATTCTTAGCACACATTGTTCACTAATCTTACACATGTCTCATATAGTTTATAAAACCTGATGAGAGATATGTCACATTTGTGAACAATGTAATTACCACTTTGTCATATGAAGAAATGACCAATACAAAAGTTGTAGATCTTGATGAGTTATTCAACTTTGGTATTTATCACTTTTTCAGCTGAAATCATTTGGGGTACCAAAATCTTGTCTGAAGTTGTATTTTTTTGAAATTCAAAATTTAAATTGCTCAAACTTTTCATATGTATATATAAACAAAACCAACAAAATAAATTGATAGAGAATGATTTTAGAAAAATTGAGGAAAACAAATCATCAGATTTGGAGTTAGTATGAGGAAGAAAAACTAGTTACAAAGTTGACCAACAGATTAAAAAAAGAAATCACACTGTTCACTAAGATCATGTAAGAATCATCTAGAACAGTGTGATTTTTTTTTAATATGTGGATAAACTTTGTAACTAGTTGTTCTCTCTCATACTAACTCCAAATGTGATGTTTTTTTCCTAAAAATTTCTAAAATCATGCTTCAGCATTTAAGCTCGATCAAACTTGGATGTGACAATGTTTTATACATTTTAAAATTTGAAATTTGAAATTTGAAATTTGACAAGTTCAAATCACATTTTCAAACCCTAAATGATTTCATATGTAAAAGTGATGAATACAAAAGTTGTTCAACTCATAAAGATCTACAACTTTTATTTTGGTCATCTTGTCATTTGACAAAATTTGAACATTTCAAATTTGAAATTTTAAAAAATGACAAGTTCAAACCAAAATTTGAGACCCAAAATGATTTCAACATAAAAAGTGATGAATACCAAAGTTGTTCAACTCATTAATATATACAACTTTTATTTTAGTCATCTTGTCATTTGACAAAATTTGAACCTTTCAAATTTGAAATTTTGAAAAACGACAAGTTCGAACCAAAATTTGAGACCCAAATTGATTTCAACATAAAAAGCGATGAATGCCAAAGTTGTTCAACTCATGAATATCTGCAACTTTTATTTTGGTCATTTCTTCATTTGATAAATTCTTAGCACACATTGTTCACTAATCTTACACATGTCTCATATAGTTTATAAAACCTGATAAGAGATGTGTCACATTTGTGAACAATGTCATTACCACTTTGTCATATGAAGAAATAACCAATACAAAAGTTGTAGATCTTGATGAGTTATTCAACTTTGGTATTTATCACTTTTTCAGCTGAAATCATTTGGGGTACCAAAATCTTGTCTGAAGTTGTATTTTTTTGAAATTCAAAATTTAAATTGCTCAAACTTTTCATATGTATATATTAACAAAACCAACAAAATAAATTGATAGAGAATGATTTTAGAAAAATTGAGGAAAACAAATCATCATATTTGGAGTTAGTATGAGGAAGAAAAACTAGTTACAAAGTTGACCCACAGATTAAAAAAAGAAATCACACTGTTCACTAAGATCATGTAAGAATCATCTAGAACAGTGTGATTTTTTTTAATCTGTGGGTAAACTTTGTAACTAGTTGTTCTCTCTCATACTAACTCCAAATGTGATGGTATTTTTTTAAAAATTTCTAAAATCATGCTTCAGCATTTAAGCTTAATCAAGCTTGGATGTGACAATGTTTTATACATTTTAAAATTTGAAATTTGAAATTTAACAAGTTCAAACCAAATTTTCAAACCCTAAATAATTTCATATGTAAAAGTGATGAATACAAAAGTTGTTCAACTCATAAAGATCTACAACTTTTATTTTGGTCATCTTGTCATTTGACAAAATTTTAACCTTTCAAATTTGAAATTTTAAAAAATGACAAGTTCAAACCAAAATTTGAGATCCAAAATGATTTCAACATAAAAACTGATGAATACCAAAGTTGTTCAACTCATTAATATGTACAACTTTTATTTTAGTCATCTTGTCATTTGACAAAATTTGAACCTTTAAAATTAGAAATTTTGAAAAACGACAAGTTAGAACCAAAATTTGAGACCCAAATTAATTTCAACATAAAAAGCGATGAATAACAAAGTTGTTCAACTCATAAATATCTGCAACTTTTATTTTGGTCATTTCTTTATTTGATAAATTCTTAGCACACATTGTTCACTAATCTTACACATGTCTCATATAGTTTATAAAACCTGATAAGAGATGTGTCACATTTGTGAACAATGTCATTACCACTTTGTCATATGAAGAAATGACCAATACAAAAGTTATAGATCTTGATGAGTTATTCAACTTTGGTATTTATCACCTTTTCAGCTGAAATCATTTGGGGTACCAAAATCTTGTCTGAAGTTGTATTTTTTTGAAATTCAAAATTTAAATTGATCAAACTTTTCATATGTATATATTGACAAAACCAACAAAATAAATTGATAGAGAATGATTTTAGAAAAATTGAGGAAAACAAATCATCAGATTTGGAGTTAGTATGAGGAAGAAAAACTAGTTACAAAGTTGACCCACAGATTAAAAAAAGAAATCACACTGTTCACTATGATCATGTAAGAATCATCTAGAACAGTGTGATTTTTCTTTTTAATCTGTGGGTAAACTTTGTAACTAGTTGTTCTCCCTCATACTAACTCCAAAAGTGATGGTTTTTTCCTAAAAATTTCTAAAATCATGCTTCAGCATTTAAGCTTGATCAAACTTAGATGTGACAATGTTTTACACATTTTAAAATTTAAAATTTGACAAGTTCAAACCAAATTTTCAAATCCTAAATGAGTTCATATGTAAAAGTGATGAATACAAAAGTTGTTCAACTCATCGAGATCTACGACTTTTATTTTGGTTATCATGTTATTTGACTAAATTTGAACCTTTAAAATTTTAAAATTTGAAAAAAGACAAGTAGGCATTGCAGGGGCGGCTGGTGATTGAGCCGCTCCTACAAATCAGCCCCAACTATAGGGGCGGCTCAGGTTACCAGCCGCCTCTACAGTGCCATCTGTAGGGACGGCTCGGCTGCTGGGGTCCGAGGACGCCCACTATAGGGGCGGCTCAATCACCAGCCGCCCCTACAGTAAAAATGTCACCGTTCCTGATGTGAGAATCTGGTGTAGTGTAATCGGAATCAGAGGATTCTCCACCACTGCCCTTGCCCCGCCGCTGGCCTCGTCCACCACTGGCGACCGGTCATCGACAACACTGCCCACCAATCTTCCTCACCGGCCAGCCTCCGCCCTCCTCTAATCTCATTCGGAGGAGGAATATGTTGATCCCTCGCCCCTGCCACCGACACCGCCCTACGGATGTCCTCTCCATCGCTCGCACGGCGGCCCCCCGCATGTTGCCTCGCTACCACCAGTAGAACCGCCACCACCGCTGGTCTGGCCACCACCCCGTATCCCTCCTTCTAAGCCCGGAGAACACTAGAGGTTCCCCATCGCCGCTCAGAAACTCTAACTTGTACAGTTGCCAAGAGGAAGACGACCTTGCCAGTTCCAATCACGCATCGACACATGCTTGCGCATTGGCAACGTCTGGATCGGATTTTTCTTGTTAGGCTGATTTTGTTGTTTCGTTCTGCTTCTACTTGTGCACCTAGAACATCATAAGTTATGTCTCTTGTATGCCATATTTTATATATATAGGTAATGTCTAATTTTACTTGTCAAAAAATGGTGCATTTTAATTATTTACTTTTTCTTTACAAAATTCTAGCCACTCAGATTTTCTATTGTTCTCTATGACTAATTAATTTGTAATTAATTCTCTATGACTAATTGGAAAAAAGGCGATCCATATTGGTTGCTGCTACGCAAAAGCCAAGCAAGCTAACTACCAACTGACCTAGGAATGTAGTGAGCGCACTTCACCACTAGCCTTTCTGGGCTTCGACATGCACAGTAAAGCAGCCAGTATATGCTGATGCTACCCAGCCTTTGAGAAACAATGGATTGCGATAATGAACTTCAATTACAAGAAAGCAATTGTAATAACAAGTAGTTCCAAATATGTACATCAATGTTACATAACTTCAATGTTTATTACAACAATGACCCAGCCTTTATATTACAAGAGAGGAGAATGAGAAATAGTTCAATCTAGCTAGAACTTCAACATTTATTTATATGATTACATAACTCAAATTGTAACAAATAGTTCCAAATATG